ACCTGTGCAAAATTTCAGCACCCTATCTCAATTCCTTCAAAAGATTGCGTGATTACAACAGACGGACGGACATGGCTAGATCATCTTAGAATTTTAACCTGATCAAGAATATATATACTTTATAGGATCGGAAATGAATATTTCGATGAGTTACATACGGAATGACAAAATTAATATAACCTACACAATATGGTGATGGGTATAAAAATAAAATAAAAAATCGAAAAAATCGACTGAAATTGTTTTAAACATAAAAATAATAGAAATTTATGGTATGGTGGCAAAAAAATTGCCAGTAGTTAAGGTTTTTCACCCTCGATGAATATGAAATAATTGGTTTTACAGTAAGTAATGAATAGTAGATTATTGCAGTACGGGAAAATACCAAATTTTGTCCGTTTACTTTTTGTAAAAATTGAGCCGCGAGTAGGTTCGTTGTCTGCTTCGATCTTCCGCTACAAGGGTACCTCCAAATATTCAGTATTTTGGAGATTTGTGGCACTTTTTTGATATTTTGAGTTGTTATTAGATATCAATTATTCTTACCGTAATTATCAATATTGGTCCACTTTTAAGTATTCGGGGGAGTTTGGGCACGTGTTTACACAAAATGGCTGCAATTTGATGCAGGCATAATAATTCCTGTAGAGACGGAGAAGGAAATCTGGTGACAGATGCAGACAGCGTGTTGAGGATCTGGAAGGAGAATTTTGTAAAGTTTCTGGTATCAAATAGTAACGTTGAACAAGATACCCCAGAACCAATTAGAGATGACGGCCGAGATGAAGTCAGAATAGCAATTAATCGGCCGAAGAATAATAAAGCAGCAGGTACCGATGAATTACCAGCCATACGCTGACCAGGAGCATGCACCAAATGATTAGTAAAATTTGGCTAGAGGAATGCATGACAGAGATTGAAACCTCAGCTTTATATGTTCCGTGCACAAAAAAGGGGACAAGACGATATGTGCCAACTATAGAGGAATTAGTCTCATTCCCATCGCATATAGTGCTATCCAGCGTGCTGTATTAACGACTGAAGCCATTAGTCAATGATATTATTGGATCTTATCAAGCAAATCCACGAAAAACACATCAACACATTCCACCTATTCGTCGACTATAAAGCCGCATTCGACAGCCCTATCCGCTCAGAGGTGTTTAAATATATGCCTGCGTTCGACATTCCTGCAAAATTAATACGGCTACTCAGGAAAACTTTAACTGGCATAAGGTCAGCAGCTAAAATCGGAAAGGACCTATTGTAGTCCTTAAATACCAGGATTTAGACAAGGTGAAAGTTTGTCGTGTGATCTCTTTAATATCATGCTGGAAAAAGTCATACGTGATGCAAATGTGAACAGAAATGACACTCTGTACACCAAACAGCATATGTTACTCGTCTACGCCGACGACATCGACATAATGGGTTGAACATTGCGAGCGGTAACAGCCACCTTTGAACGAATTTAGGGACTGGCAATAAATGGCGAGAAGATCAAGCTGATGGTATCCTCGACATAGTCAGACGTATCGAATTGCAGCGACTATGGTGACTAGGTTATGTTGTGAGAATGGATGAGGATGCCCCAGCTAAAAAGGCATATAAAAGCGAGCCAACTGATCAGAAGGGGAAGGCCACAAATTCGATGGAAAGTTGAAGTGGACGACAACATCTCGAAACATGGTCTTTCAATTTGGAAGAGCTGCGCACAATCAATACGTTTGGATATGTTTATCTTCGGAATTGGTTGTAATTTGGTATTTTGAATTCTCATTCGATGTCAAATCATACTAGAAAAAAGGAGTAATATTGGTATACTTTTTAGGATAGTTTTGTTATACCTAGTTTAAGAAAATACGGTAAAACTACTGTAAAGTAAACCTAGATCCGAAATCCCTATATGACACACATAATTTGAATAGTCTAAATATATGTGCATGATATTTTTCACGATAAATGCATTCTACAAATGTCATGGCCTAAGAGTAGATATCTATCGTTAACATCGACTGTCTAACTAATTTTATATACATACGATTATTTTTGTAATTTTTTAATAATTTCTTTTGTAGGTGCGTGTTTAAATAACCTTAAGTACATTAGGCATATAAACAATGATAGTTGTCTTACAACACACTACTCATGTATTTATACTCAGCAGCGCCATCTACACATCATGTATAAACTCTTAATTAAATAGTATTATAGCGAAGACACAAACTAACAAGAAACTCTGAGTTGTACGCACAGGGCAACACAATTTTTTTCATTGAATTTATGGACAATTACCAAATTGAATATTTTTAGATATATTATTCAGCACAATTAAACCTATATAGGGGAGACTGGGGCACATTCGGCACTTTTGTTCAGAGCTCTGTATCTCAGTATTCGATACGTCTTAAAATAACTAGAAATAGATTCATGTATACATATAACTCCAGCATAAAATAACGCTTTAACTCAAAAACTTGACCTAGGTCTTTTATTTAAGAATCCTTTTTTTGTTTATTAAAAACATATTTTAATACCCTCTTGGCGGTATATGCGCTATGAATGGCAGATATCCATACTCTGAATTAATATTTTTACTAAACTTAGATTAAGTCAGTCCGACAGGTCCCGTCCACAACTTCTGGTACCCTCCCCACAAATTATTAATAAGTTTAAATATTAAATGGAGCGAGGGGTATCAAATTTGATTAAAAGGATGAAACTCATTTCACCGAGCCTACAATGAATCTGAAGATTAAATCTATCGACGCACTCCTTCTAGTACCTTCCCACAAGTGGTCAACATTTACCATTTTTTAACCCATTCCATGCCGATATTAAATGTGTATTATGAAAAAATAGGGTAATGCCCAAAAATATATAATTAGACAATAGACTTACATTTAGACATTACATTTCCTACATACATATTTTTTTGGAAAATACTGTTCGCAAAAACACATATATAAGGATAAACCTAAATTGTCAAAATTTAATGAAACCCCTGAAGGCCTATTTCAGAGTTCCTTTCAAAAAATTGTTAAATACTTGATCGTTCCTTTTACTCCTCGTAGTAAAAAACACGCAACCTACTTTAAGAATTCAGTAATGAATGCATTAACATAAATTTATTTATTTTTTTATTGGTTTTGAAATACTGTTTAAAATGTTTCTAAATAATAATAAAATGACAAAAAATAAGCAATAAAATTAAAATAAGTACAACAAATGAATTTCATCACAATTAATATCTATAGTAATTTGGTTTGAATGGTCCCGATTTGTTTAGGCCCAAATATTTGGCTTGCTCGTCGGTCAATTCGGTCAGATGGGCATCGAATGTGGGCAAATGTAAACTGGCCACATATTCATCTAAAAACAAAAAAACAATTAATAAATTAAAAAAAATACTGAAAAGAAATCTTACCCATTTTCTTTGGCAATAGATACACGTCATTCTTATAACGTCCAGGCACTGCATTGTAAAGTTCAATCAAGGCCAAGGCTTGTGTGGAAGCTGTTACGGATACAACAAATGAGGGTATTGTCGAACATGACATATTCACCAATCTACCCTCGGCGAGTAAAATAATCATTTTGCCATCAGGCCAAATCACATGATCCACTTGGGAACGTACACGTTCCCATGTCAATTCGGGAGTGTGTAAGCTATTCTGTGAAGGTGAAAATTATAATGTTAATTCGATTTGTTAAATGAGTATTATTTTCAAATCAGCATACCACATCAATTTCAGAATTTGAGTGTCCCATATTACAAACTATACAGCCATTTTTCATACGGTCCATATGTTCACGAGTAACAATGTTTTTGTTACCAGTCGCCGTCACTACGATATCGACATTACGAATGACTTCATTCAGAGTGACTACACGATGACCATCCATACTGTAAAGAAAATATTTAATTGTAATATTATTTAATAACAGGGGTATAGAGCTCTAAACTAAATATCAGAAGGAGCGGACCAATAGGTTCGCACTTCGAAGTCTATGTGCGGTTCGTTAAATAATAAAATGCACAATTGCCCCATCTTCGAGCTTGACATGTCGCATATTTTATAAATATTTACCTGGCTTGCAGAGCACAAATAGGATCAATTTCAGTAACATAAACAATACATCCCATAGCTTTTAGGCTCTTGGCACAGCCTTTGCCAACATCACCATAACCACAGACAACAACTTGTTTGCCGCCAAACATAATGTCCGTTGAACGTCTTAAACTGCAAATAAACACACGCATACATATAATTAACTATGTATTTGAAATATTTCAAAGTTGTATCCTTACCTATCCAATATTGAATCTTGAACACTATAGAAATTATCAAATTTCATTTTTGTCACCGAATCATTGACATTAATGGCTGGCACTGTCAATTTTCCATTCTTTGACATGTGATATAGGCGATGGACACCCGTCAAGCTTTCTTCCACAATACCCTTAATGCCCTTGAAAAGTTCAGGATATTTTTTCAAAATTAAATGAGTGGCATCACCTCCATCATCCAAAATCATATTGGGTTCCCAGCCAGGGGCATTGATGCATTTATCCAGACACCACCAGAAATCTTCTTCGGTTTCACCACGCCAAGCGTAAACGGGAATGCCAGCTTCAGCCAAGGCGGCAGCAACGGCGTTCTAAATTTTACTTTTATGTTAGTTTTATATTCTCAAAAAATTAATAAATAAATAAAAGAGTTTGTGTAATTACCTGTGTTGAATAAATATTGCACGAAGCCCAGCGCACGGAAGCACCCAATTCAATGAGACCCTCTACCATAACGGCAGTCTGAGCATTGATGTGAGTACAGCAAACAATTTTTGCATTTCTCAATGGTTTATCATCACGTGCCCGTTTCCTCAATGTCATAATGCCAGGCATTTCTTGTTCGGCAATTTCAATTTCCCGCCGACCAAAGGAATATTGACTGAGAACATTTTTCACGCAGAAATCAGTAAATCCTTTGGTATTGCGTTGTTTCTTTTCACGTGGCGAGATGACAGTATCCTCGTCCGAACTGGCCGTGAAACAGGCTGTAAACAAGGAAATAATTATAAGTTAACGAATATTTTTGGAGAATTACAGAAATATTATTCTTACCAGAGCTGAAGGAGCATGTTGAAGCTGCAGATGAACGTCTTCTTGTACGGCTAGCTAATTTAAGGGCCTCTGGTTGGACAGATTCTTGCTGCAAATAAAAAATGAGATGCAAAAAATAAGTTTTTTTAAAACAGTGGGTAATAGTAGACCTGATATATTTCTAAATTAAAAAGAGTTCGGAAAATCTTGGAATACACTCCAGCTTCACACTATACATTAAAAAATTAAGCAAACTATAAATGCAAGCGGTATATTCAAACTTTAGAACCCAGAGTCACAGAAACATAACAATAGAAGTCTCATTAAACCATATAAGACGTCCAACAAGTTAAATGTGGATTCCACCGAGTTCCGAATTAACGGCATAGTTTTGCAAATACATTAGAAGTACAACAATTTCATTAAATACAAACGTTCTTAATTACCCTTGAAAACACCTTTTGGAACACCTATTTAACAAATATAATTCTAGAACCAATAGCTCTTAACAGTATTAGAAGATTATTTAGCCATTAAAATAAATTCTTACTAACAATGGCGCCCAACGTATGTAAGTAATCCACCTTACAAATGGCGCCCAATTATGTGCACATTTATGACAATCAATGTTGCATGTAGCGCTCAATAAAAATCAGGTCCTAGTCTTAGGAATCATTTCACAGTGCAAATAACGCAAAATCGCTATTAAAAAAGGATTTGCATTCGAAAACCATGCACATTGAGAATATCACTCATCAATCCAAAAGAATGAATTAATTTGTGCTTTCATAGGAAACATTCCGAATTAGAAAGCCCCGTTGGGTCACAATTAAAGTCATTCAAGTTGAAAGTGTATACTAATAACGCCGGAACTACTTCTTAGTTTTTACAAGACTTTAAAAGTTCTTTTATTATTTCCTTGAAAATACTGCGCATTGCAATTGGCGCCCAATAAAAATTATATGATTATATGATACCTAACATTACACAATACAAATGTCGCCCAACGATTTGTCTTCGAAAACCATGTACATTGAAAACACAATGGTCTTAGGACAATGATTTAGACTTTAGAACAAATATTCACTGATCATGGTACCCATCGTTTTGTTACACTTGCAAGTAGTCCTAAGAATCATTTAAAATTCTCAAATTGAACATCTCAACAAACTAATTCATTCTGATAATGCGTCCAACGTTTTAATTAATGAGAACTAGTCTTAGGGCGTATTTCAAATTTCATATGAAATTGCTTAAGTGGTACCACTTTGTATTGAATCCTATCTCTCTTGATGCCTTCCGGATGTAATGGGAAAATATTGAACAAGTTCCACTTTATTGTTTTCGAAAAGTTTAACATGACCAGAAGCACGACAATTAGATCCCGCTCAAAATGGACTTGGAAGTTTTCGTTACGTTATGGCCTTAGAATGGGATGTTGAGAGAATTGCTGCATGTGTTGTGGCGGCAAATCCAGAAATGTGTCGACTTAGAACCTTAATCTGCCATCCACAGGCTGGTTTTTATACCCTCTTTTATACCCTCTACCGATAAAGTGTTTATATTCACGATCAGAATTAAATTCTATGTCTATTCTTCCATGACCTTTTGTCTGTTGAAACCACGCAAAATTTAAGATAAAGTTTTGAAAAATTGCACATACATTGTTATTACTACTAGGATATAATAGTAATAGTCCCTATATATAGCAGTCGTTACATCGCCCAGGAGCTAAAAATCGACCGATATTTAGTTTTGCTGAAGAAATATACCCACATGATCGATTGCTGTTTTGTTTCCGGTTCATACGTATAGATCCATGACTCGTCACCAATTCTCACCATTCTCGATTGTCCAATATCGAATGCATGCTGGGGGAAGTAGTGCCCACAATTCCGCATAACAAATGGTATATCAGATGGCAATCTTATTTGACACAGCGATCATTTTTCCGAGTGAATTGTGCCATGTATAAACATTAATCATAATTGTTTGAAATGATTTTATATCCATTAGAATTTCGAAACTACTTTCCAAAATTAATCTTTGGCAAATTTGTTAATGGAATATTTTCACCTTTCCCGATGATTTAGGAAGCAAACATTCATAAATTGTTTAATCACACAACCCAATTAGCATTACATTAAATAGTTTGTGAATTATTATTTTTTGAGGGATCTTTAACCCCAATATCAATCAATAACTGCAAATTATATCTAAGTTATAGTAATTAGCACGTGAATATCATAAATAAACAAAACACTTCCTTCACCGATTACATACAGACACACATATCTTATTTGTTTGCTAATTGATCTTATCTGTATTGTAAAAAATAATTGTTTTGTTATAAAATAAATTTTTCTCTTCCCACCGGCTATTGTTAGCATTAAATCACAATTGATATCATTTAAACGGTTTATAACACAATTATCCGCTAGAAAAAAAAAATCAATAAAAAAATCTTCCTTAAATCAAATACTGACGCCATCATCCTCATCGCCATCGTCCATTTCACAATTAACAATTAGCCATAAATTAATTAACATAGGTCTGCCAATGGTGTTGTTTTATCTTCGATTATGAACAAATAGCGAATACATAATATATCAATTGAATTATTTCACCGTGCTCCTTAAAATATAAAAATAAATGTGGAATTCCATAGAAAAATCCGATTTATTTATCACGTGCTGCCGCGTTGACTGATAAACGAGATAGACTCTCTTCAATGAAGTGTGTATGTCCACCAATAATCTATTTCTAATAAATATGTATTTTGAAGTATTACTGTCGACAGAATGTCCATAGGACCACTATCTACTGTTTGGTATTATTATTAATTTTAGACTTCAAGATTTAATGCAAAGATTAGACATTGATAACTGATATTGTTTACGTACATATGTGTATGATAGATATAAGTATCAGTAGTCATATCAAAATTGAAGAGGACAAGTGTGAATGTTTCAAAAATTATTAATTAATCATTGGGTTTTACCATCGAGCCACCGATTTATTTTCTTTTCACCTACGTATTACTTTTTCGATTGATTTTTTGAAGAAAAAACATTTTTATCACCTTATGGGAAAATATTATTAGCGTAAATATAACTATGTCCGTCCTATTCAATTGAATTTTATTATAAAAACAAACATTTAAATATGCCAAAATAAGGATTAAATACTTAAATATACTACTTTGGAAAGCCCAGATCTTAAGCCTATTATGAATGTGTGGTCAATTTTGTAGAAAGAGTCAAAACATTATAGAATCAGAAGCGAGATGGATTTTAAAACAGCTTCAAAAACGGAATGGGATCAATGCGTCTAAGTGCGGTTATAAAACAATAATGATATCCAACAAAATACCTCCCCCATTCTCGATTTTAAATCTTCAAGTTTTTCATTAAGCTGGTAAATTAATACCATTGCATGTTTGTAACTTTACACATATATAATTAAAGATTTTAAAGGAGAAGAAAAATAATTTGCAAAATTAGGTTGTTGTTGTTTTTGGTGATCAAAGAAAAGACCGTTTTTGATGGCGGGCTCACTGGAACAACGGAATCCGGAAATTCCAAGGTTGTTAGAAAGAGTACATGGATTATTGACTTCGCTCAAAAATTATCAAAATGGCCATTACTGACCACAAACTAAGTTAAAAAAAATATATAGTTCTTCATCGATGGTTTTATCCTAGTTCAAACGATAGCCGATACCGATTCGATTATTAATTTTTAAGTTATTGTGCCCGCCATACGTTAAAACGCTTCTTCGAGAAAAATGCGTTTAAAGTTTGAGAATCACTCTTGTCGTCTCTTGCTGCTAACACAATAAATCGGCTATATCTTCAAAAGTTCTTGAGATTTTCACTTGAAATTTTGTAGGGACATTCTTTAATTAGAGTAGATTCGAACTACATCAAACATTTTGACACAGAGAATGGGGATTCCCCTTTTTATACCATCATACACAGCCAATAAATATATTTCGGAAATCTAATACTCACTCACAAAGAAGTGCAGCGCTGCAGATGCTTGTTTCCAAGGGAATTTCTATCCACTATCTACATAAATAAAAATGTCATTTCCTAGGAATTGGGTTTGGATGCTTGAGAATGGAGAGCAGTGACACAGGAAATGTTCTAACTTTTCGCTGCCTTCTCCACACGCTCTACACTAGTTGCTTCCCTCTCATCCAATTTTCAGTAAGTGCGCCTGCAGGCTATTATGTCCTGGAGAATCGATATTGGTAGAAATCTAAGTGAACTTTCTGACGAACATTAAAAATTGTAATAGTTCTTTACGGGAGTACAATCCGCTAACAGGTGTTTAAGCCATGCCTGCGTTCGTCATTCCTGCAAACTTAATGCGGCTATGCAGGATAACTTTAGCTGCATAAGATCAGCAGTTAAAGTCGGAAAAGGCCTAGGAGCCCTTCAATGCCGAACCAGTATTCAGACAAGATGACAGTTTTCGTGTGACATCAATAATATCGTGCTGGAAAAGGTCATACGTGATGCAAATGTGAACAGAAATGGCACTATGTACACCAAACAGCATATGCTACCCGCCTACGCCGAATAATCAATCGAACATTTCGAGCGGTAACAGCCACCTTTGAACGAATTGAGAGTGAATCTGCAAAAGAACTGCCAGTCCTTCTTTGGCAAGACGTCCAGTGGACTCGGACTTTGGAACTAACTGTGGAACAGTTCCGAGGTGGTGAACGATTTTATATACCTCGGTTCCGCCATAAACAAAACTAATAACATCAGCTTTGAAATCCGGAGAAGAATAGTGTTGGCCAACAGGTGGTACTATGGACTGAGTAGCAATTCAAAAACAAGGCCATCTCTCGCCAGATCAAACTCACAGTCTACAAGACGCTGAAACTACCCGTGCTGTTGTATGGATTCGAAGCATGGGTACTTCGGCAAGCAGATGAGGCAGCTCTTGCAGTGTTTGAGAGAAAAATCTCCGAAATATCTATGGGCCGATCCTCGTCGACGGTGAACATCGCTGTCGAATGAACGTTGAGTTGTACCATCTATTCTCGGACATCGACATAATCGATCTGCAGCAACTACGTTGGCTAGGTCATGTT